GTTGTTCCCTGAATTACTGCTGGGAGAATTGAGGGGATCCCTGCTATCCATGCCAGGCCCTGCTCATCAGGCTGCATGTCCTCTTTGCTGCTTCACATGGAGCTGCCACAGGAGTTAGTGACTGACTGGACCAGTTTCCATGACACCTTTCTCCTTTCCCAGCCTCTCTCCCTAGGGCTCTGTATTTCCCCAGAAGGAAAAAGGAAAAAGGAAAAATGAACATGTTTAAGGTGAGTAGGGCTTGCTGCTGAAAAATGTCATCTCGGGTCTCAGAAATTGGACATGTTTTTTCTTTCAAGGAGAGTCAAGGCATTTGGGAACTTTTAATCGTGTCAGATGCTAGTTTTTTCTGTTTCTGTTTACTTGGTTTTTTGGCTTTAGGATTTTTTTTAATTCTGTTGTTTTTTGTTTTCACAAATAAAAGTGAAAAGCTTAGTAGAAATGAGAACGCTTCCATTTTACTACATCTCTGGTTATCATCAGTTAGCTCCTCTCACATTTCTGTAACTGTTTCATCATATGTATCCACAGCTGTGTATTTGTATTCATAACACAGATACACCTTTAACTTGAGTTCTTTTGCTTCTGTATATTCATTTTTAATTCCTATATCATGTTCTTAATCACATTATCTATTTGTCAAACTATTCTGTATTCCTAGATGTGTAGTTCAGGATTTTAAGTGTTTTAGAAACAATACAGTGACCGTTCTCCGATTTAACCTTTTCTCAAAAATCAGTTAGAAAAAACCACCCTATTTCATTTTTAGCATACTAGTTATTCACAGTTGAACTGTATTATATGTGGTGCTTTGGATTTTGTTGGTAGAATATGTGACTCAGTGCTTCAGGATCACACTGCTGCTTGACACAGAAACTCTACTTTGTGTATTTTTTTTAATTGAAGTAACATTGTTTATGACATGTAAGTTTCAGGTGTGCATCTATGCAGATGCTACATTAGGGTCACTGCTAAAAAGTATGTATGCATTTTTCTTTAATCAAAGTCACACAGGTTCTTAATTTAAACTCCATTGGCCCTAAAGGACCTGGAACTTCATTGACACCTCAGAGGAACTGTAAAAGGAGACGTTGAGTTTTACCTTTATTTTGGATATAAATAAAGGGAATTGTGAAAAGTGCGGAACCTGCTCAAGTTCACACAGAAGACCAAGCTTGTGGAGTCAGAGGGTTGCATTTAAGTGAAAGAGGAAATGGGAGGAAAGAGAGAGGGTTCTTCATTCTGAGACCCACCGTGCCCTTTGGGTTTGTTTCCACATACTGTATATACTGCGCCTCCCTTAGTCCCCACCTCTGTGGAAGGCAGGTGCTCTCCACCACCGTTGGGACTAATATGTCAGTATTTGTGAGAAGCAGTTGGAGATATTAATGGAAAAAGTAAAACCATATTAGTTCAGGGTGTAGAAGGTTACTTATAATTAGGGAGTTTACTTATAACAGTGCTCACTGAGCAATACACAAGTAACACACACAGCTTTCCTTTTCCTTGCAGCACTTTTGATGAGATTGTGGGTAGAAGGAGAAGGGCTGGGAGCCAACACATTATTCAGGAGCCAGAGCAATTTTCTCCCATCTTCCCTACCTACTCTGTGCTACCACTTTCCAATATTGCTTGTAAGATCAGGATTGTATGTGTTTGTTATAGGAAGCAGTGACCTTCAAGGATGTGGCCGTGGCCTTCACAGAGGATGAGCTGGGGCTTCTGGATGCCACTCAGAGGAAATTGTACCAGGATGTGATGCTGGAGACCTTCAGGAATCTGGTCTCTGTGGGTGAGGACAGTTTCCCTCTGGAATGTCTTTGTGACCTTGCTGTTTTAGTCTTTGGTGCCCTTAAAATGGTTCCCTGAGTTTGGTCTGAAATTTGCTAATTTGGAGAGACAATAGAAGATGTTTCTGGTATTTGTGAGCAGTTATGTTTTGCATCTGATTTGTCTTGTGTGAAGAATGCTAAGTGATCAGTGTGCTGCTATCCCTGTCTGTATTCTTTTTTAAATATTACTTCTGTTTTACTAACAAATTATAGATTTACTTGATGAATTCTATCAGTAATTTTTTTATATAAATATAAATCTTTTTTTTTTTTAAAGATTTATTTTTATTTATTTATACAAGCACTGGGTACAGTCAGAAGCATGGGAGGGTGAGAAAATTCACCAGAGCCAGAGCGGGGAGCAGAGCAGGCAGAAGGACCGAAGGACACTGCTGAGGAGAGCAGCAGGCGGCAGGAGAGGTCTGCACGCCATGTGGGACCCTCCTCCGGTGGCCGGGGAGCAGCTGGGGATCAAACCGGTGCTGCAGAGGCTGCGGGCAGCTTGCAACCCAGTGCTCAACTGCTGCACCACCGGGGAGTCCCTCTATCAGTAATTTTTTTTTTTTTTTAGAGGCATGTTTTATTTATTTATTTGTTTGTTTGTTTTGTTTATACATGCACTGGGTACAGTCAGAAGCGCGGGAGGGTGAGAGAATTCACCAGAGCCAGAGCAGGGAGCAGAGCAGGCAGAAGACCGAAGTACACTGCTGAGGGGAGCAGTGGGCAGAAGGAGAGGTCTGCGCGCCATGTGGGACCCTCCTCCAGTGGCCGGGGAGCAGCCGGGGATCGAACCGGCACCGCAGAGGCCGCGGGCAGCTTCGCAGCCCAGCGCTCAACCGCTGCGCCACCGGGGAGGCCCTCTATCAGTAATTTTTAATGAAACGAACAGGATAGAAAATGTAAGATCGCCCAAGGAAGAATAGAAAACAATATGGCAAAAACTGGCTAATGTTAGAGTGCTGTGAAAGCCAGAGGGAGATTTAATGAAAAGACATTGATTTGAAATCTGACATTGTATGCCCTCTCTTGTTTTCTATGTATGTATTGATTACCTGACATGTATTTTTTGTTCACTTGTTTACCAACTCTCCTCAGTGGAGTGTAATCTCGTGAATGAAGGAATTTTGTCTGTTTTGGTTATTTCTCTATCCTCAGTGCTTATAATATTCCTGATTCTTGGCAGTAGGTCTGTGAATGTTGAATTCTGAGTTTATGACTAAGTTTATGAATAGGGAAATCTGAATTCCATGGAAATCTCTAATAGGTGGTTAATAAATTGAGTCAATAGGTGACATTTCAAAATATTTTTTGTCTTGAAATGATTTTTTAAAAAAAAAAAAAGATTTATTCATTTATTTATACAAGCACTGGGTACAGTCAGAAGCGTGGGAGGGTGAGAGAATCCACCAGAGCCAGAGGGGAGAGCAGAGCAGGCAGACTGATGAAGTACACTGCTGAGGGGAGCAGTGGGCGGCAGGAGAGGTCTGCACGCCATGTGGGACCCTCGCCCGGTGGCCAGGGATCGAACTGGCGCTGCAGAGGCTGCAGGCAGCTTCGCAACCCAGCGCTCAACCGCTGTGCCACCGGGGAGGCCCTTGAAATAATTTCTAACCTAATTTTAGTTATGGTTTTTGTGTGTGTTTGCTTTTCTTTACACATTGACTCTCATCAACTTGTATAGGAATCTGTACAGAAGCTGTAGCATTGTAGTTAGAACCATACTGAATAACACGCTTTCCATGTGATTTTCCTTGACCCCTTAGTAGCAGAGCATATTTATTTGAGGTGGGATTTTTTTTTTTTGCTCTTTTTTTTTTTCAAATTTTTTTTTCCTGTGTAGTTTTTTTTTTTTTTTTTTTAAGATTTATTTATTTATGCACACAAGAACTGGGGTATAGGCTAGAGGTGTAGGGGGTCAGAGAATTCACCAGACACAGAGTGGGGAGCAGAACAGGCAGACTGATTGAAATACACTACTGAGGGGGATCGCGGGTGAGACAGGAGAGGTCTGCTGCGCCATTTGGGTCAGCTCCCTGGCTGGGGATCGCTTCACAGTGCTGCGTCTTAACCCCTTGCGCCACCAGGGAGGCCCCGAGGTGGCAATTTTTAAATTTTTATTGAAGTTAACAGTGTTTTATACATTATATAGGTTTCAGGTTGTTGAGGATCTTTTTTTTTTAATATGGATTCTTATGTTCACTTCTTAGACAACACTCTCCAGGAGGAAAAATTTCTGTTTCCGTAGCCCTACATCAGGGAAGGACAATGCTCAGAAAATAGTCACCTTTTGAGTTAGTCTTTTCCTTACAAATTTGCCCAGCTGTTAACACAGCTTTTATCAAAATCAACACACATACAAGGAATGGATCTTACAATCACCCTGCAAATATTTTATTTTTGTATAGACTTATATGTATGCCTGTAAGAGGCATTTTATATAATGATACCTATAAAAGCTTTATGATGATTCTCTAATCATTTCTAGCCTATTTATAAAAATACTTGTTTCACAGTTTGACTTAATTTCATAGCTCAGTAATAATAATCTTCCTTTTGGAAATCATTCATCTGTCAGTGTATCTGCATCCCACAATTTTCCTTTTTATTTTCAAAAGACAGCATTTTTTTCTATACTCCTTCTTGGGAAAGTAAAACATATCAGAGAGACAGTACAAAAGCCTCAGAAGGATCCAGTATGTAGGTCTTCTTGATTTCTTTCACCACGAGTGATTCTTAGCATCTTTGATTTTTCTCCACAGCATTAACCCCCTTGGTGTTCTGCCTGTTGCATAAACTTTCAGCTTCTCAGTAAGGTGTACCTTCAGTCCTTTTCTGATTTCACATCTTATTTGTAAACTCCCTTTTGTTTGTCTGATTTAGTCAGCTTAGAGTGGGATTTGGAGGTACAGAGATTCCCAGAAGTCAAACTGAGATTCATCTATGCATCTATTTCTTAGTACCTACCAATACTAGACACTTTATATCTGTAAGCACTACAAAACACTTACCCTTATAGATAACGTAGTTTTTGTTTTCAGTGAGTTTCATTCAAGCTAAATGGTTGGTTAGCTCTTAGTTTCTGTCAGTATATAAAAAGTTTTTTATATGGTGATACTATAAGCTGTACCATCCTGAGTTTCAATATCTCTGAATTCTCTATCTTTACAGGAGAGAACAATGAAAGTGAGCTGAGAACAGTTGAAGACAGAGGATCACATGAAGAGCTTTCCTGCTGGAAAATTTGGCAACAAATTGCCAGTGATTTAAACAGATGTCAGGATTCCATGATAAATAGTTTTCAGTTCCACAGACAACACTATTCCACCTGTCAAGATGAAGGAGTACTATCTATTCAAATTTCTGAAGATGAAAATTATATATTAAATTATAAAGTGGATGGTCTGAATGATACTGGAAATCTAGAGTTTCCAACTTTGAGAGCCTATGATTCTTTTAGGGACATTTCTTTGACTGAGTCACAGAATTATCTAAGGAGATATCAGGAAATATCCATGAGAACTAAATTATGTCAGTACAAAGGGGATGTGGAGACTATCAATTGTATTTCATATCACCCCAATGATAATGGAGTACACATAAGTGAAATATATACTAGTTGCAATGATTTTGAAAAAGACAGTATGAAGATATCAACGTTGGAAAAAAACAGTGTATTTCACACAGAACAAAAACCTTACCCACGTAATGAGTGTGAGAAGAAAACCTTCAGTGATCTGTCTACCTTTGATCTTCTTCAGCAGTTACACTCAGAAGAGAGGTCTCATATGTGTAGTAAATGTGGGAAAGGCTTCCCATATAGCTCAGTGGTTCATATTAATCAAAGAGTTCACGTCGGAGAAACATGCTGTATCTGTGATGAATGTGGTAAGGAATTCAGTCAGAGCTCACATCTGCAAACTCATCAGAAAGTCCACATTGTAAAGAAACCATTCAAATGTGAGCAGTGTGGGAAAGATTTCGGTTGTAGATCAACACTCACTGTTCACTGTAAAGCCCACACGGGAGAGAAACCTTATCATTGTGATGAGTGCGGGATGGCTTTCCGTCAGGCAGCTCATCTTCAGGACCATCACAGAGTCCATAATGGGGAAAAACCATTCAGATGTGATGCATGTGGTAAGAGGTTCAGTCGGAATTCACATCTTCAGTCCCATCAGAGAGTCCATACAGGAGAGAAACCATACCAATGTGTGGAGTGTGGTAAAGGCTTCATTTGTAGCTCAAATCTATATATTCATCAGAGGGTCCATACAGGAGAGAAACCATACCAATGTGTGGAGTGTGGTAAAGGTTTTAGTCGACCTTCAAGTCTTCAGGCCCATCACGGAGTCCACACTGGAGAGAAATCATACATATGTAATATGTGTGGCAAAGGCTTTACTCTAAGTTCAAATCTTCAAGCACATCTGAGAGTTCACACTGGAGAGAAACCATACAAATGTGAGAAGTGTGGGAAGAGTTTCAGGAGGAACTCCCATTATCAAGTTCACCTAGTGGTCCACACAGGAGAGAAACCTTATAAATGTGAGGTGTGTGGGAAAGGATTCAGTCAGAGTTCATATCTTCAAATCCATCAGAAGGCTCACACTGTAGGGAAACCTTATAAGTGTGAGGAGTGTGGGCAGGGCTTCAATCAGAGTTCCCGACTTCAGATTCACCAACTGATCCACACTGGTGAGAAACCATACAAATGTGAAGACTGTGGGAAGGGATTCAGTCGGAGAGCAGATCTTAAAATTCATTGTAGAATCCATACGGGGGAGAAACCGTATAATTGTGAGGAGTGTGGGAAAGTATTCAGGCAGGCATCAAATCTTCTGGCCCATCAGAGAGTCCACAGCGGCGAAAAACCATTCAAATGTGAAGAGTGTGGGAAGAGCTTTGGTCGAAGTTCACATCTTCAAGCCCATCAAAAAGTTCACACTGGAGAAAAGCCATACAAATGTGAGAAGTGTGGGAAGGGCTTCAAGTGGAGCTTGAACCTTGACATGCATCAGAGGGTCCATACAGGAGAGAAACCATATAAGTGTGGGGAATGTGGCAAGCACTTCAGCCAGGCCTCAAGTCTTCAACTTCATCAGAGTGTACATACAGGAGAGAAACCATACAAATGTGATGTGTGTGGTAAAGTCTTCAGTAGGTCTTCACAGCTACAATCTCATCAACGAGTTCATACAGGGGAGAAACCTTATAAATGTGAGATATGTGGTAAGAGCTTCAGTTGGCGATCAAATCTCACCATTCATCATAGAATCCATGGTGGTGATAAATCCTATAAAAGTGGTAGGGGTTGTAAGAACATCAGGGATTCCACGCAAGAAAAAAGTTCTATAAAGTGATTAAAAAACAAACCAGGTGTCACGTGAATTATTCCAATCATGAAGTTCAAACGAAAAAATGTCATTAAAGTTAGAGTTTCAGCCATAGATCACCCATACACCTCCACCAGATATCTGGAATTTTTTTTTTAATGATGAAAGTAATCAGAACCCTTGTACGTTGATGTTGGGAATGTATGTTGGTACAAAGGCTTTGGCAAGTGGTAATTTGTCCAACAATGGTAGAGTCACTATATGACAGCATTCTTGGATGTATAACAAAGAGGAGTTAAACTATGTCCACACAAAAACTTACACAAACCTGTCTAAAGCAGCATTATGATGGCCAAAATGGAAACAGCCCAAATGGCCATCAACTGATGAATAAATTCACACAATGCCATACATATATTTAACAAGAAAAAGTGAAGTGCTAATACTTGCATCAAGATGGACGAAACTTGAAAACATAAGGGAATAAAATTAGCCTTTAAAGACCATATACTGTATCATTACAAGAAATGCTTAATATATATGTATATATACACACACACATACATACAGGAAATAGGTATTAATGGTTGCCCTGCACTGGAAATTTTGGGGGAATGTTGGGAGTAACTATTAATCACCGCCAGGTTTCCTCTCTGGTGAGAAATACGTCCTAAAATTGATGGTTTCACAACTCTTTGAATATGCTAAAATTCCTCAAATTGTGTGCTTTAAATAAACAGAATGGAATGTGAACAACAAGTTGGGATAACATTTAAGAACAGAGTAGAACATACTGCTACGTTTCAAATTCGGTTTTAATAACAAGGATATAAACCCAAACGATCAACTCAAATGGTCAAAAACACGGAGACTTACAAGCATTTGAATTAATGCTAAAATTTAAAGCTAATATAAAGCCTAAGGTGGTGATCTTCCTCTAGAGCGAGTTTTCATTTGTTTCTGTTAACAAATCATCGAGATGCACTATAATCCAATGTAAGGTATTATGGCAAAGGCCATTTCCCTTTTAGTCTTACACCTAAATGGCAGCACTTTCGATTTTATTCCTGCGTTCCTCCCCACCTTCACAGTTCCGGAAGACCTTGAACGTGGCTAAAGTGTCCAGCTGTTAACATACCTGCCCAAGGGCCCACAGTGCCAACCTAAAACGGCAAATCTCTTCCAGATTCGCTCTGGCACCCCAGGAGTTAATACCCAGAGGCTCAGAAAACCCGGAGGCATTTCCGCCCTGAGGGGCGGGGCTGGGGCCCTGGGCATTCTGGGAGGTGTAGTCTGGCGAGCTTGTGGCCCGACGCACTTCCGCTTCCGTCAGGCAAAGCCAGGGAATGCTGGGTTGTAGTTCAGGGGGTCCCTCTTGTCTGGCGCGACTTTCACTCTTAGCTGGTGGAGGCTGTTATCCAGCTCCCTCAAATAGGTGCGTGTTTTACGGTCTCGGGGTCCCTCCGCTCTGACATTGCCCCACGCTCGTCCTGGGGGAGAGCAGGAGGCGCCGCGGCAGCTGCGGAGGACGGGGTCGAGGAGGTGCGGCTCCCTCCGCGGGTCCTCCCGCTGCAGAGGTGCGGGTGACCCGGGTGGCACTTGCCCACCGGCTTCCCTCACCCGCCAGCCAGCGCTGCCCTTCTAGTAGTTTAATAGTATAATATTATATTGTTTCTGGGCCACGTTACTTAGCTCCAAGTGGTGTCGTTAGTGTCCGTCCCCTAGCATTTTATATAAACTATTTAAGTGTGCACAGCAGCGTGATGAAGTAGGTCCCGCAATTTTTTTTTTAAAGATTTATTTATTTATGCATACAAGAGCTGGGGCACAGGCCAGAGATGCGGGGGTGAGAGGATTCACCAGAGACAGAGTGGGGAGCAGAACAGGCAGACTGACTGAAGTACCCTATGAGGGGAGCAGCGGGCGAGTCCGGAGAGGTCTGCTGCACCATGTGGGTTGCTCCCTGACTGGCCGGGGATCGAACTCGTGCTGCAGAGGTTTCAGATTGCTTTATAATGCGGTGCTTAACTCCAGGGAGACCCCGGTCCTGCAATAATTTTTAACACAAAGGAAAAGGAGACACCAACACAAAGTCCTCTACACATTGTGGCGAGGGAAGCTTGTTTCTGAGTAAGCATTGCAGACTAGAGAAAGATACTGTATCCTCTTTATTCACTTTATTCAGTCAAGCATTTAAAAACTTGATACCGTTCTATTTTTTTTTTAGAGGCATGTTTTATTTATTTGTTTGTTTGTTTGTTTTGTTTATACATGCACTGGGTACAGTCAGAAGCGCGGGAGGGTGAGAGAATTCACCAGAGCCAGAATGGAGAGCAGAACAGGCAGAAGGACCGAAGTACACTGCTGAGGGGAGCAGCGGGCGGCAGGAGAGGTCTGCGCGTCATGTGGGACCCTCCTCTGGTGGCCGAGGAGCAGCCGGGGATTGAACCGGCGCTGCAGAGGCCGCGGGCAGCTTCGCAACCCAGCGCTCAACCGCTGCGCCACCGGGAAGGCCCTCTCATGGCCTTTTTGTCCTTCTGCAGTTTTGCCTTCTCGGGACTCTGATCTTCCCCAGAAGGAGCAGAACATGGCCCAATTTCAGGTAAATGAGGCATTTCTTTCAGTATCCTAAGGTGTGGACCTTCTTTTTCCTCTTCCTTAATAGGCTAATGTTGAGTAATAGTTCTTAAATACATTTAGGCCAGCGTGTATTGTGTGTGTGTGTGTGTATGTTTGTTTTATTACCTTTATTATGTTACAGAACAAGTTTTGAAAAAATAATAAAAATTGTAACTAGTCAGTTGTAATTTACACTACCACCCTGCTTACAAACTAACTCTTTTCACGTTTGCGGAGTCTTTTTTCACATTTGCAGAGTCTTTTTTCACGTTTGCAGAGTCTTTTTTCACATGCACTCATGTCTATGTATTGGCAATGTGAGAAACAATCGGATATTTTTCTAACATATGCATTATCTGAAGGCTTAATATTTCTAGTTCTTATTAAAATTAATAAAACCTAATTGGAATGTGAGTAAAATATGTGAGTGGGGATGACTCAAAAAAGAAAATAAGTTTATGAAGAAAATAATGAGTTGTATTAGTAAACATTTGCAAAGTTACAAGTTTTCTATTTACTGATTTCACTTCATTTGTAAAAGTTTCTTTTGTTTTGTTTTGTTTTAAGGAATTATGTCCTATCAGAGTCTAGAGATTCAAGAATAGTTGTTCTCCCTCCCACAAAGCTGGCTTGGGAGAACCTACTGAGAGGGCACATCTGCCTCGTGTTTTCAAAAGTACATGGTCTGTGACTTTGCAGTTGCTGCTTCTTGGCTAAATTTTTGTGAGAGTCTTTGCAGCATTGATTATAAATTGTGTTTTATTTGGATTGGTTGAAGTTAAGTCGTTCTCTTTGAGGAATACTATATCTTGCAAACACACAATAGGATGAAAATTATCTTAGGCTATTGTTACGTTTATTGAGTATTTGTGTGTCAGACACCCGTCAAAGTGTCATGTGTATATAATCTAACCCTTTCAACACTATTGAGATTTAGACCCCATTATAGAGAGGAAGAAATGGAGCCAGTGAGAGATTAAGGAATTTTCCCAGTTTTCTGTAATTCAGATCTTGAAATTTTAATTTAGTCTGTGCCTTAACTAACTCTATTTTGTTTTTAATATATATTTATTTAGTGGAAAATTTGACGTACAGGCCAGAGGTGCAGGGGGTGAGAGGATTCACCAGAGGCAGAGTGGGGAACAGAGCAGGTGGATTGACTGAAATACACTGCTGAGGGGAGCAGCGGGTCAGAAGAGGAGAGGTCTGCTGTGCCATGTGTGTCAGTTCCCTCTCCAGGGATGGAACTCAGGCTGAAGTGATGATAGCACTGAGATTTAACCCCTTGGCCACCAGGGAAGTCCCTTAACTAACTCTTAATGGTGCAGTAGGTGCTAGGGTATCATAGGTGCTTGGAAACAGAAAGGAAGAGACCTTGAGAGAAAGCTGCCTGGGAGTCCACTAAATCTGAACAACTTGTAGGTAATCCTTTTTGTCTCCCCACTGTTGCCCTTCTTCAGTGGAAATTGTGAGACTGAGGTTCCATGCTTTTGTTGTTGTAGGAGGGAGTGACCTTCAAAGACCTGGCTGTGGTCTTCACGACACAGGAACTGGAGCTGCTGGACCCCCAAGGATGTGATCCTGGAGAATTTCATGAACCTGGCCTCTGTGGGTGAGGGCAGGCACCCCTGACACTAAACCTCAACCCTCTTGAGAGTTTCTACGTCCTCAGTTGTTTGAATTGGGGACTTTGAAATGGTTCCTTGTCCTTGGTCACATAGGTGTTCTGATCTCTGGGAATATAGGCATAGGTTATTTTGACCTTTTAGTTTTGGCAAAATTCTGTGCAGTAGTGATTTTACCCTGGCCATGTCTGGATAATTTATATTATCACAACTGTGTTGAAGTGCTCCTGGCGTCTAGTGGCCAGGGGTGCCTCTAAGCCTTCAATGCCCAGGACAACCTCTACAGCAAAGAATTTGTCCTTGAAAAATAGCAATAGTGTCTATGGAGAAACCTGTTTTAAGTGACTCATAAACAGGTAGCTTAGCTGTTGTACTTTTACTTTGAAATACTTGGTCTTTCAAATTATAGTTGTGACACATTGGTGGGACATATAGTCAGTAAAACTGACTGTTTGCAGTGAGGGTTTTGACAGTGAGGGAAATCTGATGAAAACAGACTTTTTTCCTATACTTAGACATGAACTAGATCATAACATAAGCTTATGTCTCACCACAGTTAATGATTCAAATGTTCTTAAAATAACAATGTGAGGTTTAGAGGATTATAGGATTTGGACAAAAGTACATCTGAGCTTTGGGTTCATTTTATATACATCTTCCTGTCCCTAGTACCTCTTTCTTTTGAACCAGATATGGTATCCCAGTTGGATGCAAAAGATAAGCTTTTGATGATGCAAACAGAAATCCAGAAAAATGGGTATTTCCATGAGAACCACTCAGCTGTTCTTTCAGGTACTAGCTCGTCTTCTTCTCACCAATTCCATGGTTACCAGTCTTGTCCCAGTATCTCCATCTCTTTCCTAGATGGTGACAAAAGCCTCCACACTGGTCTTTCTTCCTTGATTGCACACCTGTCATTTCTCTGTCCACATGGCAACTACAAAAATAACACATCACCCCTCCTATTTGTTCTTCCCCGTTGGTGACCAGAGTTCTATTGTCAAAGGTCACTGATTTGTTTTACTTCTGTTCCTTTACTTGCTTTCTTTCCTAATAATGCACTTATAGGGTAATCATTCAATGTTTGTCCTTCTGATTTCTTTCACTTTGTGTAATTCCCTGTGCATCTATCCATTTTGCTGCAGTGGCAGAATTTTTTTAAATTAATATTTTATTTTATATAATTCTTACATCATTTTTCATTTTTGCACAATGTATGCATTTTCATTTTGGTTATATTCCCCATACAATTGCACCCCCTGCCCCTTATTAGTGGCAGAATTTTATCTTTTTTAATAGCCAAATAGTATTCCCTTGAGTGGAACCTTTCTAAGCCTTTATTCCTAATAAGAGGGAATGTAACGCTCCTTCTTCTCCCCTTTGGGATTGCCTTTAAGATCTGCACTGTATTCTGTGTCTTTCTTTTCCCAGGTTATTTCTCAGTTGTACCAGTGTCCCTTTTCACGCCTTTTTTTACAGAGACCTAAGTTACTAGCAGGTTTAGAGCAATGAATGTTATTATTCTAACTGCTAAGTATGGAATCTAGATGTTCTTGAACAAAGCTTTCTCTGTCCTCATCTCTGATTGTTACTTTTTCAGTAGGCAGCAAGACTCAACAGGAAATAGAGACACTTCAGAAAGGACCTGTAGAAAACCTTTCACAGGGAGAGCCAAATTGCTGGCAACTCTGGCATCAGGTTACAAGTGATTTCAATAGACGTCTTCACACACTACAAGGTGATTCTCTCCAGGCTTCTGAAAAGGAAAACAATATGAGGAAACATAATGAAAATAACTCCAGCTACATTGACCATCCAGTATTTCCAAATTCAAGAATCCAGTATTCTTGTGGAAATGGGCATTTGTATGAGTCACCAAATCAGAGTAGAGATAACCAAATTAACATGAAGAATAACCTGCATATGTGTGACGCCTTCAAGAAGAAATCACCCCTAAGTGAACTTATTAAAACTCTCACCGCAAGGAAACTGCAGGAATGTAATGAATGTGGCAAACACATTGGTGATGACTTCACTGAGCCTCTACCCTTAGGAGAGAACCCCCATCCTCGTAGTGAGTGTGCAAGGGACTTCAGTCATACCTCAGGGCTTCCAGTCCCTCTGAGTGTTCTCACAGGAGAGAGATGGTCCAGACAGCACTCACATCTACAAACTCCTCAGAGAATTCACACAGGGGAGAACCTGGCAAAATGTCATGAATCTAGTTACAGCGTCAATAAAAATTCTTTTCATTGTCATCAATCTAATTATACTGGAAAAAAATCCTTTAGGTGCGACAGTTGTGGTAAGGGATTCTATAGCAACAGAGATCTTACCGTTCATTACAGAACTCACACAGGTGAGAAACCTTATAAATGCAGAGTGTGGTAAAAGCTTTAGTCAAAATTCATACTTTCAGTGCCATCAGAGAGTCCACACTAAAGAAAAGCCATACAAATGTGATGAGTGTGGTAAGTGCTTCTGTTGGATTTCTAATCTTGGTGTTCATCAACGGGTCCACACTGATGAGAGACCCTATAAATGTGAGGAGTGTCTTAAATGCTTCAGATATAGTTCAAGTTTTCAAAGCCATCAAAGACTCCACAATAATAAAAGCCCATACATATATAAAGAGTATGAAAAGTGCTTAAGTTCGAGTGTTACTCTACGTGTTCATCAGAGAATCCACAGGGGTGAGAAACCCTATAAATGTGAGCAGTGTGGTAAGGGCTTCATGCAAATCACACACATCAGAGTGTCCACACTGGAGAGAAACCATACAAATGTGATTTGTGTGGGAAAGGATTTTTCCGTAATACAAATCTTCATCGCCATTTCAGAGTTCACACAGGAGAGAAACCCTACCAGTGTGAGGAGTGTGGTAAGGCCTTCACTCAGGCTTCACATCTTCAAGTTCATCAGAATGTCCACACTGGAGAGAAACGATTCAAATGTGCATTGTGTGGGAGATGCTTCAGTAGGTCCTCAACGCTCCAAAGCCACCAGCGAGTCCACACTGGAGAGAAGCCATACAAATGTGAGGAGTGTGGTAAGGACTTTATTTACTGTTCAGGTCTTAGATACCATCTGAGAGTCCACAGTGGCAAAGGTCTTTTGAAACGAGAAGTGCATTAATGTCTTTAGTGAGAATGAGCATCTTGCTGTTTTTGGAAAGTTCATGCTGAATGATAAGTCCTATGAAGCTCAGAAACTTTATACAGATTTTTAAAAAAAGATTTATTTATGTGTACAAGAGCTGGGGTGTAGGCGATTCTGTCACCAGAGACAGACTAGGGAGCAGAATAGGCAGATGGCTGAAATACACAGCTGAGGGGAGCAGTGGGCGAGACAGGAGAGG